AAGATCAGACTGATGATGACAAATAAAAGCTATTATGCAATGAAAGAGATGATCACGTCGAAGTTACTATCGCGACGAACAAAGGAAAGATTGTACATAACCTATTTGCGGCCAATAGCGACGTATGCATGCAAGACGTGGGCGAGCACAAAGGGTGATGAGGCAAAGCTAGCCATTTTTGAAAGAAAAATACTAAGGAGAATCTATGGTCCAGTGTTTAATGCAAACCTAGGAATTTTCGAAAGAAGGAAAAATGAAGATTTACAAAAACTCTATAATAAACCGAACATCTGCAAATTTCTTAGTAGCAAAAGACTAGAATGGGCTGGACATGTGTGGCGTGCAGAAGGATGTCTTATAAGAAAAGTGCTCGATGGAAAACTGAATGGAAAAAGACCCACAGGGAGACCACGGCAAAGATGGTTCAACACAGTGAAGAAAGACTTGACACGAGTGGACCCTACTTATAACATCAATTTGGCAGTTGATAGAATGCATTGGAAAGGTATTGTAGAAGCGGCATTAGACCTAAATGGTCTGTCTTGAGCCCTAGAAGAAGAAGAATATTATGGTTATTAAAATTAAAGTTTATAGTACATTTTTATTTTATTTTGTTCAAAATGTTTTTTTTATGATATTTACGTTATTTATTATTAACATAGTAATAATTACTATTAAAACTCATTTTCTTACATTTATTAAATCAAACTTAAGAATTTATATGTTATGAATGTTATAATGTTATTATAATAACATAATAATATTATTTTATATAAAATTTAAATAATTATTAACTTATAATATTTTATTTAATTAAATTTAAATAACTCTTGCCAATAAGCATAAAATCTTAACAATTATAATACAATATTTATAATATTATAAACAATAACATAATAATAATAAAATAACGGCTGAAATTAACAATTGAACAATAATAGTGATGATGGTGTAAAAACAATGGAGAGCTAAAATATAAACTTGGCGTGCATTGATAAAGTATTTAATATGAACATTTCCTATTATAGATTTACTGTGTATGCTAATAATTAAGGAGATAGGGTGTTTTTGGAAAGTAATGTGTTCAAAATAATTGATTAGAAGGAATCAAATGAATTAAGGAAAGCGTTCGATTTTGATACAAACTGAGGTAATATTTAAGAAATAGGTTCGGTTAAATTATTCGAGCTGCCCACGATTGCTTCTTTACATTAGAGTTTGTGCCAAAGTTTTCCTTTGAGTCCAACTCGTGCGAACGAGAACTCAGTTGTGACTGGCAAAATATTTGCAAACCCTTTTTGATGTGGCTAGTGACGCAACCTTGAATGGAATTATCAGTGATGGATGTTTGACTTTTTCTTTAACGACGGACAGATTTTGTAATTATTCGCAGTACGTACAAAAAATCACAAAGCGTATTCGGCAGGTAGTCCCGGTGATTCGATGCAGTTATCGGTGAGGCGTTCATTAGTGCGTTCGACACATCGGAACGATTGGAAACGATAAGCGCGAGTGGTGATCGTATCGCTGACACCGTTTGTATTACGGTGGGAATCGCGCATAATGAGGTCTTTTGACGACTGAATTGGAGTTAAGGAGGGGTAGTTGGTAAATGCTGCGCGTTGAATCAAGGTTAGGGGTAAAAAGTTTTAGCGTCAGTTTGTTTACTCGATGGGACCTGTATTATTATAAGAGCACCGATATTCGAAAATTCTAATTTTTCGTATTCTAAGTGTAATACAATCATAAATAATATACAACACGTGTAGGTAGTGAATTACAATACAACAACGATTACGATCTTTTATATTTAAAACTATCGTTAGTATTATTTATTTTTTTTTTTACATAGTGTTTTGTTCACACGAAACGATGATTTAAAATCATCCAGAGATCAGTTATATATATGTAAGTAATGCAGAACCACTAGTCGAATGTTGCTTTAGTTTCGAAAACAAAAGCGTGAAAGCGCATACTTTTACGTTTCTTGCGTTGAACATCAGCCCCCATTCAATCCGGAAAAATACATATCTCGATGTTCGTTGTCTGTCCGTATGTGAAGTGCTGCGCCGTGCTTATCATTAAACCGCCTGCCATGCAATACTCGAGTAATACTACGCACGTGAACGTACAAATGAAGAAGAAGAAAAAAAGAATGTTAAAAAAAAAACATCACCGAAAAGGTTTCAATTATAAACGGTTTGTTCGTGCACCCGATGTTACGGGGGACGCGATGCGCGCGCGGACCGTGGATGGCGGGAGAGTAGGGGAGGGGCAGCCGAGGGGTTGTTTCGTTTGGAAAGTGTATCAAGTGCACACGACAACGGGAAGCCATGTGTCCGCCGCGTTATCTGATCGCAAAACTCATTCGCTATGAATGCAAACCAAACATTCACCGGGCGTCCCGGACTTTTGCGGTGCCGGGCGGTCTTTGTACGTTCACGCCGTACTCTTTCAACCGACAGTCTTATCGCGACGATCGACTGGCCGCGGGCACGCGATAAAACGTGGACGTTAATTATCGAACGCGTTGATCTGTTTGCACCGGGCAGCGGACGAGCGGCGGCGGACGAGTGAAAGAGGAGACCTCGGGGAGGATGGGAAGAAAGGAGAAAAAAAAAACACACCGCACAATAATGGTTCCTCGGTCCGCAGGGAACTTTGTAATGATTAAAAACTATTTATATATATATATATATATACGTATTTGAGGTAGTTTCGCGCACATTACGTGATGGTGGTGTACACGCACGAGCACGCACACATTCGTTCGGCCTCGGCGCTCGGTTCGTAGTGTGGCGTACGTGTGCGCGCGCGTATATGCCCGGGAGAAAGGTGGGCACGAGTGGTACATACACCCCGGCCGAGTTTTAGTTTTCCCCACAACCCGGAGGTAATGGACCGTAAAGTAAACAGAACATTAAAAGCCCGAACTCTAAATTCCGACGGTCCATTTGGCAGGATCTATAGTAAATGACTAACCGGGCACCTATAAATATATATAATGACGACGATACAGCCGGTCGGCGATGGTTTCGCGCAGATAGAAATGCCGGCGCGGCGTGTGATAGATTCGCCAAAGTTCTCGACGGTTTTTAGTTATTTACCGTGCCCTAGCACAGTGTACGCGTTTAAATATTATTCAACACTTTTATCGTTGGTTTCGTAATAATATGTGACCCTACGAGGACGGAACATTGAGGGGGGGGGCGAACTACCGCTTCATCTATTGTGATTCAAGCTCCCCCCCTTCGAGTTTCAGCAGTTTATATTAGTTAACAGTTTTTGAAAAACATTGACTCGTATATAATTTTGCGGTGAACGCGTAACATTATTGTTAACGTAAAAGCGTCAACCATGTCAGGGTTTTAATAAAAAAATATTTTTTTTTTTTTATCACGTCTTTGATAATAATACAATTGACATTACGTGTTGTACTTGAATGTATTCGTAAACTACACGGTATAATACGTGTATTGATTTGTGGTAAACTGTACATTGTTCCAAAGAAAAATCTCGACTTTCTAACTCGACAATTTTAACCTTTAGAAAAATATATAACAAACCTCTTAATGATATAATTGATAAAATTTCCAAGATTGGAATAAAAATAACTTTAGAATTATAATACACTTCTTATTAATTTAGGCGTGATAAAATATTTTTATTTAGTTTCTGAGATAAAAGACAAACCTATTGATTTTACTATGATGTATGTTTTTCTTTATGTCTATATATGATTCCTACAAGAAGAATTGCTCCGATCATGATGATCGTCAGATTTTCATGGAATATGTCTAGTTGATACTTTAATACGACAATTTTAAAAATGTATTTATTTTATTTTATGTCTCAGAAACAATAATACTGAGACTCTCGTGTGAGGGCCCAGAAACCTAATTATAATTAGAAATATTCCAACAATTTTCTTAATAGCCGCGAACAATTATAAAAAAACGCCAAAAATTAATATATATATTCATGGGCGGATAGACCTACCAGAAAATCGGAGTTTTCTCGTAGATCTTCACCTATATTTAAACTCAGAGGCCCTAATCCTGGAATATTAGAAGAAAAAAATGTTATTCTATAATACTAGTACCGGCATATTGATATTTAGAATATTTCTTCATGATTCGAAAAACATGGATAGTTTGTGTACAGATTTTGCATGTCTTGACCCTAATAATTTCAAACCAGATATAATACTTCCACAAAATGTTGTTATTGATGTGTATGTAGACTTCTGAAATGAATACACTGACTCAATATCAAAATGGAAATAAATAAAAAAAACCTATTGATTAAAGAACTAAAAGACTACGATGATAATATGCTAATAACAAAAATAACTAATATTTCTAAATTGTATAATGTATTTAATGTAATATGTAATGTAATATTTATAATATGATTTCAATTTTATTTTCTTAGAATATTCAAGTGATGATTGATGATGCAGGCTTAGTATAAAGCAGCCATAGCCCAAATAATAATGTAAAATATAGTGTACTTTGTTACTTAGATGTGCTGATGCAGTACATCGTATACACAAATGCATATCCCAGTATTTTCATTGCTTAAAAACTAATTTTAACATTATCTGTAACACAAGTAGCGTGTGATAGGAGTTTTTTTAAAGTTAAAAACTACTTAAGAAATACAGTAGAGCCTCGATAGTCCGGACCCCCGATAATCCGGCGAACGCGGTAATCCGGACGGCAAAATTCCGTTTGTTCGTAAATAGATTTTACGAGAATTCCCGGAACCCAATTAATCTATGCATAAGATATTGTTATCGACAAATACAATTTCATCATTTTTATTACCTACTGTTCCTAGTAAAGATTAATATGTACATATGTAGGTAATAAATCGATGCCCGATGGTCAGTTCGTTTACTTCTTTCTTGTCGAGTGGTTATTATTCTTGTTTGTACAATGGCTCTTCGTAAACACGTAACTTTCACTTAAGATCAAAAAATTGAAATAATTAAGCTAATGGAAAATGGCCAGAACTATGGTATGATTGCTGAGAAGTACGGAATAGGTAAATCGACTGTTGGTGACATAAAAAAAAATAAAGAAAAAATTATGAAGTTTGTCAGCACAACTGAACGTGGTCCAGGCACACGTAAAACTTTAAAAGAACCGGAAAATCTTGTTCTCGAAAATGCTTTATTTATATGGTTTATGCAACAGCGGAGACGACATATTTCGATAAGTGGTGAAATAATTTGCGAAAAAGCACGTTTATTTCACCGTGAAATAACAAAGCAGGAAGATGGTTTCACTGCTAGTAGAGGTTGGCTAGACAATTTTAAACATCGTCATGGTATTAGGCACCTTTAAATAACGGGTGAGAAACTTTCATGTGACGAAGCATCAATCGAACCATTTCGAAATGAGTTGCAGCGAGTCATAAATGAAAAAAATTTGGACCTAGAACAAATTTATAACGCTGATGAATCCGGTTTATTCTGGGGAATGTTACCAGAGCATACATTGACATCAAGTCATGAGAAAAACGCCCCTGGAAGAAAAATGATTAAAGCTAGAATAACATTCATGCCTTGTGCTAATGCAAGTGGAACACATAAATTGCCTTTACTCGTCATTGGGACTGCACAAAAACCACGTGCGTTTAAATCAGTTAACCTTCCTGTATACTATCGTGGACAAAAAAATGCTTGTGCCACTCGTGTTTTATTTTTAGACTGGTTTCAAAAACAATTTGTTCCTGTAGTTCGTGAGCACCTTTTAAATGTAAATTTACCTCCAAAAGCTTTATTATTGTTGGATAATTGCCCTGGACATCCATCAGCAGAAGAATTACGTAGTGATGATGGCAACATTTTTGCAATGTTTTTACCCCCTAATACTACAGCGCTTATTCAACCGATGGATCAAAATGTAATTCAGAATATTAAATTAAACTATCGTAAGTCTCTCTTAGTCAATGTTCTTGCTTATCCGGTGCATGGTGAAAACCTTATTGATGCTCTAAAGGCCATAAATTTAAAAGACGCAGTTTTTAGTCTTGCAAATTGTTGGAAATTGGTCCCGCCAATGCTCATAAAGAAATCGTGGAAACACTTGCTTCCTTTCCAAACAGAAAATAAAATCAACGAAGTTGTTGAAATTAATGACATTCAACTTTCTACACTCATAAACCAGATACAGAAAACATGTACGAATAAAATGTCTGATTCTCAAGCACAGGAATGGGCTTACCGTGGCGCAGACGAAGATTTAGCGAATCATGAAATCTTAACTGATGATCAAATTCTACAAATTGCAGCAAAAGAGGATGATATTGACGACGAGGATTAAAGTGGCTCAATTAGTACAAGTAAAGTTTCTCCTTCAGAAGCTGTGAATGCACTGAATACTGTATTGCAATGGGCGGAAGATGAGAACATGGATAGCACTGATATTTTGTTGGTACGTCGATTAAGAGAACTCGCTTTTGAAATGAAAATTAAAAGTACTATTCAGAAAAAAATTACCGATTATTATACTTAAATTCTACATATTATAAACATTTTTTTTTTTTTTGTAATTCATTAGTTTAGTTTTAATTTAAGTTGTTTATTATTCGTATAATTTAAAATGCAATAAATATAAATATGGTGAAATTAAAAATAAAATCTTAGTCATTTGAGTAGGTAATCTTGAGAAACCTCCGGTAATCCGGAAAAATCGGTAATCCAGACGATGCTCGGTCTGAATTCGTCCGGACTATCGAGGCTCTACTGTACATTGGGCCAAATCATTTGGGATAGTTTTATGTTGATGAATGCAGATAAAGATTTAATGAATACAATTGATTCAAATGAAATTTTCAAGAAATTAATTGCTAAATGTACATTTAATAAACTGTTATAATTTTAATAATTTATTGTCTACTATCAAATATACAAATTATTAATATATTTTTAATATACATTAATTGTAAAGTATATCAGTGAAGTGATCATTGATATTTATTTGGTATTTAAGCCAGTGAATCAACTAGAACTAAATTTGGGGGAGGCTACAGGAGACTTAGCTTAGGCTAGGGAGGCTACAGCTAATTGCACGTTATACATTTTAATATTATAGATAGTGATTCTTCAACATACGATAATAGCCGGAGTATAATATTACGATTGTTGTAAATGTGTGTATCATAATTTTAAACTTGTTCGATAATAAATCAATACAATAAAATGTTTAGTCATTTTAATAATATATTTAGTACTAAAAGCTAATATCTTAACTGCTTTAATCAAATTTGACTCGCTATTACATGATTACGAACGATCACAATTGAATTCAACTGAATACATATGAATATTGCATTCAGTATACATTTTAAAATAATATCAAAATACACACAATTGGGAATAATATTAATGTACAATGTAGAATTGATATTATTGCAAGTATTTTACTTACCACATGCATGGTTCACCTCCGTGTAATTACCCAATATATTTAATACAAATTTAAAGTCAGTTTTAATTTTATGGCTAAAATTTATTTATTTAAAATTTTAAAAAATTACAAATTTTTAAATTTATAAACATATTTAAACATTTAAAAATTCAAAAAATTATTTTTTTTTAATTTTATTTTTTGGCCGAAAGCGATTGGTTAGCGAATGTTAATTTTATCAGCTTGTGCTTAGATTATCGATTTGTATTAGTGGCTACAACCCGAAAGTTTGACATCACCCAATAGCATTAGTTATACTTGTGATTAGCCGGTTAATCTTATGTTTAGCCATACTTCGGGCACTAGCCGTAACGTATATACAATACCTTCATGTTAAAAAAATATACTGGCCATTATAAATCCCCCAAATATTTTAGACTGAATTGTAATACTAAATTATTTATTATTATCCACGTGTACTTATATAAGCCATGTTTTTCTTAAAATCGATAGTATTCCTGTAGATGTAGCTACTAGTTGTTACTGCAATAGTTTTGCGTTCCACTTGATATATTATCGTTTCTATATTGTTGAAAATCTGTTCTTATCAAGTTGATTGCAAACAATTACAGCGACGTCTATTGACCGCATTCACGTTTTTAACAATAAGATGACGTATCTATACATTCTGAGAAAAACGATTTTATATTGAAATACAATCGTCGTAGATAATAGTTTAACAACGTAAATGTGCGCTGTGTACGATATACTCATATTTATCTAACGCACGTATTAAAAATACATTAAAGATAAAATAATACTCACGTTTAATATTTAAGCAACACAAATATAACGATGTCACTTGTATCATTGTATAATATGAGAATTCATGAATGGTACATTATATATATTTTACGAAAATTATAGTACTTTATATGCCTACCGGGCACTGATAGATCAATTTTACTCGTTTCAGTTCACGTCATATTAATAAAACAACGTAATATAACAAAAACAAAAACGGATATATACAAAATACATCTCAATACTTCCATAAACGGGGCTTACACAGGAATAGAAATACTGCAAATCATTAATTTCGCGTAGAAACAAAGAATACTTATTAATATTAATAGAAATAATAATAAAAGAGATTTTTTCAATTTGCGGCCTAAGATATTTATCGGGTATTGAATCCAATAGACTTAAAATCTATCGTAAAGTGTACATATGTTAGTGTGTATTAAGCATTTTCAACAAACTAATAATTAATCTAAATATTTTTATGATAATAATTATCATAATTCTTCAATCGAATATATATTTTGATTTCTAAAATAAATTTGTTATAATTCAACAATTAAATTATAAGTATTAGGGTGTTTTTTTTTTTTTTGGAACTAAATATTTTAAAGTTTTTGGACTTGATTTCCAAAGCTTTGAGGACACTTATATAAATTAATAATATTAAACTCACATAATTTTAATCGATTTGATGATAAAATGATAAAATGAATTTGACGACATTGTTATGATCGGTTTACGAAGTATATTAATTGATGGACTAACACCGCTATGACAAGTAAAATAGTGAAGTAATTAATAAAGATTATCTGAAAGAGTTGAATCATCCGGCGGAGTTTTTTTTTTTTTTTTTTTTTTTAATATCCGACACTCATTCTACGTTTTAACACCGGTTTTATCAAATGTTACACCTCATTTAAATTCTGAAATTCATAACATTATTGCGAGTAACGCGCAATTATAAATCGCAATATTATATAACACAAAGTGATTTATATTCATAAATGTAACATTTGGTTCATCATAAATCTAAACCTCAGAAAATTATAAATTTTCTATAAGTTACGGTGACTAGATTAAATCGTCGAAAAAATACATCGGCACAAAACATGAAGTGTTGCCTAACTGCTAACATTAATACAAATAAGAACCAATACACGTATATAATATATTTTTTATATGCAATTATGATTATTTGATATGTAAATTTAGTTTTGAATAATATGCATAATATTTTATCATAATTTACAGATATTCACTACCTATGAAATTATTCACATTTTCACAAACAATTTTAGTACTGAACTAGTTTTTTAAAATATCTATATAAATCTCATTAGTGTACAGAAAATTTATCACGGATTTTTGTGCAGTTGTGGAATATATTTTCTTTTTCATATATGTTGATTTTCTTTAGTAATCTGTAGTAAGATAATACTCCGATAGTACTTATTTTCTATGCTTTGCTGTATATGCAATAGTTATATTGTATAACGGTGTGTATTTCAACACGATTTAAAATAAAAATATTTTAAATACTAAATATTAATAAAAATAAAATCAATTAAAATGTATTACGATTATATATTTTTATTTTGACCAATAACCTAATTTCTTTTATTATTATTATTATTATTTTTATTAAATAATCTATAAGCAATGTTACAATAAGCGCAAATGATAATGTTTATTTTTATGGACGTTGAAGAAGTTTTGAGCGAAGAGACCAGTGGTACTTCGACGTGTCTAGATAATCCAATTTAAATATTTTTTCATTTATAGGTATTTGTTGCTTATTTTAATAACTTTGACTGTTCATTGGAAAACTGTTTTAATCATTTTTAGTTTATGTGATTTTTAGTTTCTAATTATTACAGAATAGATATATTCATTGCATTTGTTTGTTCGTACGCCCATAGTATAACATTTTTTTTTATTTTTCCAAATCGAATAAAGCCTAATATTATTCCACTAATATTTGTGCGTTCAAATAGGTTTTCAATTAAAGGTCTCGAATAATAATTGAAATACTCGTCTGTTTCGTCGATATGTCGATACGTTCAAAATATGATACAGTTCACATGACGTGATAATAATTATGATAATTATAAATTACTCTTTATGATTGTTTCACTCACTTTGCATATTATACACACCATGCGCCAAATATATTGAATTTTTTTAATATATATATAAATTACCTTTTTTGTGACGTATCCATTGATTATTGTTACTGTACAAAAAACTATATTAAATACAATAAAATACCACAATATTCTATTTTATGCGTATTTACATGTTTTATAACAAAATAATACAACATTGTTCTCTTTCAATATTATTATGATTCATGTTATATTTACATAGTTCAATGATAGCTCATCGAATTAATATCAGTAGTTTCAAAATTGAAATACAAATATTCTACTTTGATTATTACATTTAGACGTACTATTTTGGGACCGTTTTGGTGAAACGATATGTTTAAATTGAAAATAAATTGTATTCAAATAATTATTGGGGCCGAGTGGTAGGTAGAGCGTGGTTCTACTTAATTTCAGTATCGCCTGTTCAAAACTCGATCACCGGTGGTTTCGTTATCCGGGTGGGGGACCACCACCATTAGACACAAAACACATGGGGATCAATGTGAACAATACGAGTAATAAAAAAGGCTGCATCCGAATTGGGTCCCGAATTTAAAATAACTATACTAGTTAAGTTCCGAATTATTTTAGGTACTACACTAGTTGAGTCCTGGATTTTTATAGGTATTACACTTGTTAGATCCCGGATTTTTATAGGTACTACTTCCTGAAATTTTTTGATAAGTATATTATACTAAAATTTTCCTTCCTATTTTAACAGACTAAGGACTATTTATGATCTATTTAGACCACAGGTATGGTTAAAAATATTTTTTATAGCTTTTCTATTGTTTTTTAGTTTCTTTGCAATTAATTTTTATTTATATAATATAATGATTTTAAAATTTTTAATATTTTTACCAACACAATTCTGATCTTAATAATTTATATTTTAGGTAATGGAAAAGAAACTAAAAAACAAAAAAGAACTATAAAATACATTTTTAACCATACCTGTGATTT